GAAACCCTCAATCTACTGCCCCCAAAGAACCACACCTATCTTTCGTGATTAGGAGTGTACACCTCGACTTTACGATCGACGAGATAAGTAGCTTCTTAGAAGCCGCCAAAATCCAAGTTACCAAACTCTGGAGGATAACCTCCAAAAAAACCTCAAAACCCACCCCCCTTATTCGAGATAAATGGACAGTATCCTGTATACGACGGTTCATTATAAAAGCCTGTAATATTACAAATCACACTATGGTGTTAACCACGGAACAAACTCATTGATTTTCTGGAGATTCAACTTGAAAAACTTATTTTGGACAAAAAAAACTCCAGGAAATCAATGAGTCTGTTCAGAATTACCTATTTTATTTTGATGTATTGTGATTTGATATTATTGAATATTAGGCTTTTGTTACAATACTGTATGAATTTGAGTAATTTTCGGTGATAAAAAAAATAAAAATAACTTTGCACCAAGAACTGACGATTAATTTACTTTTCATAAAAGTTGACCGTGGTTAACACGACAGTTGTGTAATTTGTAATATTACAGGCTTTTAGAATGAACCGTCGTATACCGGATGCTGTTTATCGTTTTAGCAAAAATTTGTTTTTCGTATTCCCCATTTAAAAAAAATCGGTAAAAAAATTAAACCTTCTCTCTGATGGCCATGACTACAAATCTAGATGTATTTTTCAATGCTAAACAACTTTTCTAATTAACATATTCCGAGATTTTTAAAAATAAGAGTACTTTACTCCTGTCACAAAATCAAATATTTGAAGGCTACTCGTATATTACGTTTGTTGTACTGTATTTTGTTGGTGCATGTTTAGTTTTAGGGAATGCACAAACTTTTATCAAGAGTAACTTTTTGTCGAAAAACCCTTAAGAGGCCGTGGGAGTACGTGACTAACATATTCTCTGTCAACGATATTTTCATCTCTCTTCTTGCTTTACTCCCTCTAGCCAAATTAATCAAAGACGCACGTCCCTGCTGGCGGGTAGCGAAAGCAAGCACTCGAAATAAGTGCGACGAGAATAAAGTAAATCATTTCTTACTGAATGCCCACATTCATCTGTTCATCACTGCGCTGGTGAAGTCATAGACAAAGGTTCAAATACAGCCGAATATTATATTCTCATTCGTTTCTCAGTGGCGGGGACAGAGATCGCAGTGACGGTGTGCATTAAAAATTGAAAATACGAAAATGATGTGCAAATTTACAATCTTATTTTAGGTTTCTCTTGTTTGCAGTTGAGTAGTTTGTGATTCCAAAGAATGAAGCTTTGTGAAAAAATATGAAATTTTCATTTTTTATCAGAATAGGTTTGTGAAATTAGTATATTTGATACATTTTATGCTTGGCAATACTTCTAGAATAGCTATTTATGTAAATAGTTTCGAAAAGTTTAATTTTATGTAACGAGCGCGAGTAGCGCAAGTTACAAATAATGAAATCCTATCGTGTTATATACAAGATTTTTTCTAATTTCATCAAAACATCGTTTCCATTATTTTTCAATGATACAGTATCGAATCTACAAATATTTTCACTAATCAAGGATGCTATTCATCGCATAGCTTGTCACTTTGGAGACTTCTATTCTTTAATTTTGCTCCATTTACTCTGAGTGATTTCATAGAGGCAGAAGAGATAGAGTAATGCCTGAATGGAAATTTGTTCTTGTTTTGTGTGATTTCCAAGTTGAAAAGTATGATAAAATCACTGAACCGAGACAGGAATTAGCGAATTATATCTAATATATATAAATTACCTGTCACGTTGTTTGTCCGCGATGGACTCCTAAACTACTTAACCGATTTTAATCAAATTTGTACACGGTGTGCAGTTTGATCCATCTTGCAAGATAGGATAGCTTACAACTTAATTTATAGTCGCAATATTATTTCATTGTGAATTATTTGTCTATTATTTAACATTCACAATTATTTGTTAACTCCAAACGATTTTGACAGATGGCGATATCTGTTGACTGGATTTAGTAAGTAATCAATAGATCGCACTGATATGTTAAACCTACAAACATGTCATACAAGCTACAATATAGCATAACCACCACGTATTGTTGAGGCTAATGTATAAGTTAAATTTATTTTGTAGTGAACGAAACAGCGTGAAATTCTATTGTTTTTTTACTTTTTAAATTTTTTGTGTTAGCATAGCCGGCCACGTGTTCAACTGAATTTTTAAATCCACTAGATATACCTGGAATGCCACCACATAATCTTCGATTAAAAATTGGTTCCCCTACTATTCTCCTATGTAATTTGGATCCACCTCAATTATGCAACTGTACGCGTTTATTCATCAAAAATATCAACGAAAATATTTTCGAAGCAACCATTTTATCTGGGAAGTTTAAAGGAAAAGTGGTTCTGTTGCCACGTATTCCAATGATACCGTCAGATTCTACCATACCCTTCAGAAGGCTATAGTTTCCAATTCGTTTAACTTTTGCCATGTATATAAATATGTGTCAATGCCAAACAATGTCCATTTGTGCTGGTTTAGATTTGGAAAATCTATGTTTTTCTCATGGGCAACTATATGTTGCATGTTCACGTGTAGGGAAACCGTCGAATCTATTTGTGTTAGCTAAAGACAGGATAACCAAAAATATTGTGCACCGATTAGTGCTACATTGAAATATATTTCCTCAACATCTAACCTGACCTCCGAATTTTGAAAGGAACGTATTTTCGAATATTTACTTTTGTAAAAACTATGTTTCCTCAACATCTAACCTGACCTCCGAATTCTAAAGGGAACGTATTTTCGAATATGTTTTCTCAACATCTAACCTGACCTCCGAATTCTAAAAGGAACGTATTTTCGAATGTTGAAACCTAATGCAATTTATAAAAAGTGATTTGTGTGCACCCACGGGCATAACCTATAAGGTTATGTCAATGTGTGCACCTGATAAATTATGGAATTTTATTCTAATTTTAAGAAACTCGGTAATAAGTGATTGAAAAGGGATAGAAAAAGTTGCGATGATATGGAAAAAGTTGTGTTAAATAAAAAATATGTGAATTGCAATCGTTTATTGCTTAAAAAAAAGTAAAATATGACGTCATACAAACTTTGATAGGCTATATCTCGAAAACTAATTGAGTCCGACAAAAAATAAAAAGTGTTCTAAATTCCTACTATGATATAGTATCATCCCAAAAAAAAATCGCGAAAATCCGTGAGTATCCCATAAAGTACAATTTAGCCGAAAAGTGTGTTCTTTGTCAAAAAAATTGAGTATTTGGGTCATGTAGTTGAGATTCTCCACAAAATAGAAAAAATAATTGAAGCTATCAAATGCGCACTATGCGGAACTGAAATTCTTTTTGCGGATAGTCACACACTAAAAATAAAAATCTCAAAGTGAAGAATATTATCTCGATTTAAAGAAATCTTGCGCTCCTATATTCATGAAGAAATGTTTTTATAAACTGAGAAATATATTCTCTTAAGCTGAAGTTGAATCATTACTTCAAATGGACTGAATAGATGCTTCTTTCGAGTAGAACAAAATTATTCCACTAAGATTGTGCATACATTTCAATAGAAATCATCACATTAGCTCAAGAGAAGTAGGTATGCATTCTTTAGTCTGAGCAAAATTAATCTCGAAGCAAAACTGTTTTGGGTTTTGAAAGAATGATTTGTTAACTTGGAACACTTTTTAAATATCTCCGTATGAGAAATTAATTGTTTTCCTTTGAAGAGAAGCATTTTTCATTCAAACGCTTCTATTTGTATAAATCAAATAAATTCATTTGCTTCATCAAAGATGAACTTATGCTTCTGTTTATAAACTGCCCCTCTCATATGAATGTCTTTAGTTACTTGAATCCAAAGTATCTCATCTGTAATATGAACAGGGTAAGGGGAGAAATTGAATAATACATGATTGGTTTATTTGAAGCAATTGCAAATCAAATATTACCCTAAAAAAGCAAATGATAAAAAACAAAATATAATAGGGAACTAATTTTTCTTTGGTAATCTTTGCTTAAATGTCATATTCTAACTGCACACTATTGAGAGATCATACAGTTATACAAATAACAGAAATAAATATTCAATCAGAAAACATATATGAAAAAAAGTGACATATTGTTGACAAATTGCAAACTAACAAATAAAATAGAATCGAAGCCTACAAACAACATTACAATTCAGACAAGAAAATGAATTAATTTATAAGTAATTTTACACAAATGAAGTTTTCAAAACTAGATGCCATTCTGGTGAATAACATTAAAAAAATCACTATCGTCTATCAAGTTCTGCATTCTGCTTTTGTTTATCCACAATTGCCGGAACATCACTTTGATTCTGAAATGGAAGAAGAAATTAGCACATCATCCTTAGCTTTTTCAAATATCTTAGCTATTTCAAATATCTAGAAAGGTAAAAATATGCTATACAAAATTCCTGTTATGTTCAGTCGATCATAATATAGTTTTTGTATATAGATTCACAAAACTCTTGTTATAAACGAATTGAGTTATTTGAAGGGATACAGTTTTGAATTCAAACAAACAATATGTGTTCAGATCAAGTTGATATTGCTCTCCATTTGAAACAGTTTATTTTTCTCTTCAAATAGGTGGTAGATTTTCAGATGATATTATATTTGATTCAAAATAGTTCATCTTCGCAATAATATAATCAAACGAATGATGTAGTTGAAAGGCCAAGAAATTTGATTTCTTCGTTAAAAAAAGTGTGATTCTCTTGTGGAACACGGCGCTGTTGGCATGAAGTAATAGTTTCTCCAATAGAGATAAAAATTTCAAAGCAATCTATGATCTTCTTTGAAAGAAATACTTTTTACTGTGCACATTTTATAAAATTCATGCTCAAAAAAGCTTGTAATTCTCACCCACTATTCTTCAGTTATTTATTTATTAATGTCATTCTGATATTTCTGAACAGTAAAATTATGACACCCCTTGTAACATAAATTTCTAAAAACATCACGTTGACATCAGAATGACATTATCGTTCAGGTCGTGTCAGAAAGTCATTACCATTTTCATGTTTTTCAAGAGTACCAAAAAATGTTTTTTGTAGTGACCGATTAGTGGAGCCTTTCACAAAATCTCTTTGTGAAGGTATGGATACAACCAAGTCAACAGTTAGGGCTAATTCCAAACCGATGAATGTATTCTATGTCTGGTACACTGAACTATGTAGACGTATGAATTGTAATCCCGCCCCTGCTGTGAAGCCTGCCAAACCTAAGTGTCAAACCGTATTAGAATTTGTCGCTGATCGGCTCAAAGTAGAGGAATGGAACCCTATTGTCAACGCGCTACGAAACGATACTAGCCTTCACGTAATTAGCATCAAAAGTAGAATAAGTAATTGTCAATTTTTCCATGATATTGACACTGAAGATAAAGCAAGACATATGAAAAGGCGTTTTGGTTCTCTATGGACAGCCTACATCCTACGGCAACTCGTTAAATCAATTTCGTGCTCTCTCAGAAACACAAGTGTCCTCACATGTTTAGAACTAGATGGCCTGCCAATGTTTAGTCAGTATTTAGAACCACTCCTGCAGGGCCTGAAGAAAAATAAAACCGTAAAACAAATTTCTTTCGCAAATTGTCTCATTTATGATAGTGGATGTCAATTAGTATGTTGTTATATAAAATTCACGCCGAATGTGGAAGTTCTGAACCTATCTGGTTGTGGCTTATCGGCAGAAAGTGGTGAACATCTAGCAAAACTGATAAAATATCAGCAAATCAACAGGTACTGTGAAAGTTGGCATAATTCATTGAGATATGAGAACCCACAGTCTGGTGTTATGAGAGGAATCAAAAGAATAACTATCAACTGTAATCCCGAATTTGGCGACACAGGACTCGAACATATATTAGATGAATTGGAAGATGACTTGTGGATCAAGGCTTTAGATTTACAGCGTTGCGGCATTACTGAAAACTTGTCAAATAGAATAACAGATGTCATACAGTATAACAAATCCTTAGAAATAGTTGACTTGAGACAAAACGATTTACTCTATATTTCAACAATTGAAAGAGTCCTTCAATTATTGAGGGAAAAACAACAGTTCGGTCATCAACCAGAATTTCAGTGGTGCAACACTGCTCTTACTTTAACTTGGAATTCTGTATACGAATCAACTTCAAAATTTTCTTTTGGGACGAATATTCACAAAACAAAATCTGCACCTACAAAAACTCATTTCTCAAAAACTAGTACGTTTACTATTGATCAAAATATTCGAAAGTCGAAAACAGTTGAAAATATCCAGAAAAAAAATGAAAGTAGTAGTGACCTGAAAGTCAAGGAGCTCAATTCAAAATTACAGTTGGAGATACAGAAAAGAAAGAAAATTGAAAAGAGGAATGAAGAGTTGCAGCAGAAGCTGGAACTTATTCAGAACACAGTTAAAATGAAACAAGAAAACGGTAAAAAGTCTCTCAAAATAGTAATGGATTCCACCGAATGCAAGACTCCTTTGAAACCAATGAAACTTGTCCCAGAATGTACGCAACGGAAAAATGAGCATTCGAAAGCCAGGGAATTGAACGGAATCAAAAATTCAAATGGTCTAAAGAATGGAATCAAGTATGGGATTGTCCCTAATGGCGTTGCAAATGGCTTCAAAAATGGTGTTTCTTCAAAAATTATTAATAGCGCCTGTAAAATTTTTGAAAATTTACTGAAGAAAGACACTTATGTTGAAATAAACGATGATGGCGATTTATTAAAGCACTTCACAAACGATAAGCAAAACCTATCAATTGACCACGACAATTTTTCAGAAATATCCACTGATAGTCAGTTATCTTTATACGAATACATGGAACAAGTGAAAAAGGGTCCGCCGGAGAAATATACCAGAACAGAATGTCAGAAGAGATAAATTTTATAATTTTAAGGTGAATTTTGTGTAGAGAAATTAAAACGTTCACTGTGATTGTATCTTCAATGTAATGATAGGGTTGGTGTCAATTCTGTAATTAGTTCTTAGAATCAGCCTTCGATATCACAACCAGAATAAAAAATACTTTTTTCATTCAAAATGAATAACTTACCTGAACTTTGTACAAAATTTTCATGGTAATAAATCAATCAGAACATTTCTATCTTTGATTTCAGAGCAATCGACTATTGGCAATAACTAATCAGTTTTAAATTTGAGTGACGTCATTTCACATCCAATATGGCGGACCGCCAAGATTACTTATTTTCAGAAAAAAATTAAACTATTTAAAACTGAAGAACTGTTGGGAGTGAGAGTATCAAATGGATGTATTTGCTGAAGAGAGAATAAATTGGCCCACGGTCCTAATCTGTCCGCTTGTTGTTGCAGGTGATAACTAGTTGATAACTAGGTGATAACTAGTTGACTAGCCAGCTAAACTGTATCATTTGCCTAAAGAGCCACTCACTGAATTTGTTCTCTTGTTTTAGCCTGTTTGCCGTACACACCAATAAGAAGTGTGCAGAAAGAACAACGCCTTGGAAGACTCGTGATTACAGAAATCGCCTGGTGGAAAGTTCTTCTCCTACTCTGCTAATCGGTCATTTTGACGACGAGTCCGGCATGTTAGACTCTGTCTAACAGAGTCGACCTTTGTCCAATTCGAATCCTTCAATTGCATAGTCGCCATTGTAAGGACTTGCAACCAAACTGCCCGTTCGGTAGAATTTTTAGTTTTTCATTATGGTTGTACGGTAGAAAGGTACTTGTCGAAAATATTCTAATACATTTCATCTGAAAACAATTACAATTTTCATAAGTGATTGCACTTCTAAAACTAATAGCTCAACATATAATCAGCAAACCATATTTTGTCCCAAATAGAAAGGTATTCATGGGAATTGAAAGGTTTATTTGCCATTGAGAAAAATTAATCTGCTATAATTGTAAAATAGATATTTATCTCCTACAAATAGTCTATTTATAAACTGAATAGATATAAGCTGTAGGGTGATTTTTCTACCATTCCGAATTCATGACAATACAGACTCAATAGAGCTTTGAAATACCAATTATACCTGTAGTCGTGCAACTTTTTTGTCGACTCTCTTTGACTTGCGCTCGGGACGATTTCATTTGGCCATGCATTTGCGAAACGATGAGTATCCCATGTTTTTTATCTGAAAGGTAAGCACGTGTCCGTTAAGAGCTGAGTATATTTTTTGTTTTCATACAACAGACATAATACAACATTAGTCACTTCTTCAAATCTCAACTTTGAATCTGAACTAGTGAAAAATAGGAAAAATGTTGGGAAATAACCAGTGATAAGTTCAAGTGCTTGAAATGTTTATTTCCTTCAATCAGCTCACACCTCCTCACGACAACCCTCCAAATTCGAAACTTGTGTGAACTGAAGAATAATCAGGTCTTGACTTTGAAAGTGCTAGCGCAGATCAAACACTACGTATAAAACATATATCATCACACAGTTGATACAAAACCAACAGTCTCATAGCGATTGACTAAATTGATAAAATATCTTCTTTGTGTATTTGTGCTAAAGATCAGATGAAAAACACCTTACCCTTTGCCTCTCATGTGGACCTACGATTTTGTAAGTAGGTGTAGCAGATACCCGACGGAAAGACAGCAACTAACTAACCCAGCTAATATCGCGCAGAAAGCAGAAGTAAAACCATCAGGCCCCTGTGCAACGTCTTTCATTCGTAAGATTCGTCGCAAGTTACTTCCTGCATATGAAAATCAGAAATTAATTTTAGTTGGTTGGTACGACCAGCCGATAGACTGTTTTAATGACAAAAAATCTTCGGAAATTTATTTCTATAGAGTGACTTATTTGTCCCCTCGCCTTATGTTTCCCTAAAAAAGCAGAAGTACACTCATTTCTAGATTTCTCGCACTATCTATATTTATCAGAGATACAAAGCAATTTTCGACTGGAAGATTTTCGGGATATATTCAGAGTGTTTATAATAAGGGAGTGATATTTCACAGAACGATTCCTCAAGTATTTTCAATATGAACAATATCATTTGCGTGGATCCGCAAGGTATTTTTTATTTTAGAAATATGTTGATACTTGAGGTTACTCCAATATGAAATATACTATGAAAGGAAAGTTTTTTTTTTTCAGGTATCCCGAAAGAAGTGAAAATATCAAAAATGTCCACATGCACATGCATGTGCAGCTCAATAACATCAGTTTTTCAGCGAGGTTTATGACACTAAACCCTGTGGAATATTAATAAAATTCAGAGATCATACCATAAAAAATATGGTTTACAAAAAGAATAGGGAATATCCTGAATGGATAAGTTATTGAAAAAGTCTCCGTAAAAACACATGTACTCACTCATTCAGGAAAAATTTTCGTGAACTCCTACGTAAAAA